CTTAGGGGTTGTTGACTGGGCACTGTGGCTCACCCTTGTAATCCTAGCACTTTGGGAGGCTGAGGCAGGTAGATCACGAGGTCAGGAGATCGCGACCAGCCTGGCCAATACAGTGAAACCCTGTCTCTACTAAAAATATAAAAATTAGTTGGGTGTGGTGGCAGGCGCCTGTAATCCCAGCCACTTGGGAAGCTGAGGCAGGAGAATTGCCTGAACCTGGGAGGTGGAGATTGCAGTGAGCTGAGATTGTGCCACTGCACTCCAGGCTGGGTGACAGAGCTAGAATCTGTCTTAAAAAAAAAAAAAAAATTACAAACCAAGAGAGCATTGCCTATGTGCTGTGAAAAAGACGAGAGCCACAGATTGGCCAAATCTGTTGCTTTTACTCAGGCAGAGTGAAGAAAACTCTGGCCCTGTGACAGACATTTCCAGTTTTCTGTACATAGAAGTGGGGAAACAGTTGTGGACAAAGAAAAAAAAAGCCAGCTGGGGTTCTTGACACACAGTTCATGCTAATTTTAAACTGTACTAACACTTGACCATATAATGAGGGATCCTTTGCAGGGTGATGATCTGTTGAAGACTCAGCAGGACACACTGGGGAGAGGGAGAGAGGGTTTCAGAACGTTCCCCTTCAGAGGCCTTTTAATAGGTACTGAAATCAGAATTGACCTCACAGAATCTGATCGTTACTGATGCAAAAACAAAGTCAACATCATCTGCAAAGATAATTTTTCTCATCAGACTATGACTGCCTATGCTTATTACCACATCTGGAAATCTGACTACTTAAATAAGAATTTCTGTCAAGAGACTGAACAAGCCAAGCACCAGGAGTATTTTACTCTGTATGTACAGATGGACATCGATCCTGGAATATTTCTTTCTCATTGATGCTTAGGGACCATCTTTTGATTTTGATCCATGTCAAGATTCTAAGGTAGTTTAAGACATAGCTTTTCAGTGTTGTTTTTTTCTTACAATTTCTGTTTCTGTGAGTGTAATGTAGGGAGGAGTACCAGATTGTTTTTATAAGTTGTTTCTTATAATGATTAACACATCTTTTCTGCCTTAAGGTTTATAACAAATGTGAAGCTAAGTTTCACAGGTTAATTTCAGCTTAATCTTTTTGTGGATGATAGCATAGTCCAGAAGTAATATGCTGTGACATTTTATTTTATCTTATTCTATTTTTGAGACAAAGTCTTGCTCTATTGCCCAGGCTGGAGTGTAGTTGTGTGATCTTGGCTCACTGTAAGCTCTGCCTCCCAGGTTCAAGTAATTTTCCTGCCTCCACCACCCAAGTAGCTGGGATTACAGGCATGCACAAACATGCCCAACTAATTTTTGTATTTTAATAGAGATGGGGTTTTGCCAAGTTGGCCAGGCTGGTCTCGAACACCTGGCCTCAAGTGATCCATCCGCCTCGACCTCCCAGAGTGCAGGGATTACTGGTGTGAGCCACTACACTTGGCCTGTTATGATATTTTAAATTTCAAAATGTAATAAAATCACAACGTATGCCAGAAAGCCACAGTACTTCTCATTGAATATAGTATCTCCTTGGTGTTCATATCCTTATGATCTTACGTTAACTCTGTGTGCTAGTATTTTACCAAATCTGTCAACTCTTTTAAGTCAGAGACTACATTTATTTACTTTTTAACTTTTTGTTTGAAATAACTTTAGAGTTAGAAAAAATTTGCCCAAAAATACTACACCGATTTTCATGTACCCTTGATGTCGCTTCCCGAGATGTTACCATCTTACATAACCGTAGCACAGCAAGGGAAACAGAAATTGACATTGATACAGTAGCATCACTGACTAACCTAAAGAACTTATTTCAGTTTGCCAATTGTCCTACTAATGTCCTTTTTAAAGTCCAGGATCCAACCCAGAATCCCATACAGCACTTAATTGTCACGTGTTGTTAGTCATCTAGTCCAGAGAAGTCTTTCTATAATTTTTGCGACTTAGTACTTTTTTTTTTTTTGAGATGGAGTCTTGCTCTGTTGCCCAGGCTGGAGTGCAATGGTGTGATCTCGGCTCACTGCAATCTCTGCCTCCCAGATTCAAGTGATTCTCCTGCCTCAGCTTCCCAAGTAGCTGTGATTATAGGTGCGAACCGCCATGCCCAGCTAATTTTTTTTTGTATTTTTGGTAGAGACAGGGTTCGCCATGTTGGCCAGGCTGGTCTCAATCACCTGACCTTGTGATCCACCTGCCTCGGCCTCCCAAAGTGCTGGGATAACAGGCATGAGCCACTGCGCCCAGCCTTACATATCCCCATCATTTTTTTAAAGCATTTTGTAACTCTTTGGCATCACAAGATGTGTCAGGGTTATTTTGCCCCAGCCCTTGAATCAGTCACTTCTCCAAAGACCCTAGTTCTTTTTATTGGAGATTGGTATTTAGAAACAGAATCTGGGTGCTTGATATGCTCATGGCCACTGGTATATCATTGCTTCTAGGCCCTCTCAGCTTACAGTGCTGGGAACTAATGTGTATGTATATACACATATATGAACATGTTTCTCCCTCTCTCTTCATATCTATATACCTATGAATATTTATCTACCTATTAAAAACAATAAGTTTATCCTGATACTTCCACTTACAACTCAATATCACAGTTTTTTTAAAAATACCTCTTTCTCCTTACTTGTGGCTTTTTCTCCAACAGTTAGAAACCAGGCATTCATTATCTACAATATATTTACTTATTTGCTCAACTCTAGTACATATGTAAAGAAGTTTCAGAATTGTGATCCCATAATCCCTATGAGAAACAAGTTTACCAACAAGATTATATAGTGTTCAGGTACAGTCCTTTTCGTCTTTAGTCTTAAGGTATATAATAAAAGTACTGGTTTCCAAAACTAGGTTAGGTATTTTCTTTCTTACCTCTTTCATGATGACTGTTGTTTTTCATTTTGTGATATAGCTAGGTTCTTTTGTTACTGTTTGTGTTCCATTCTGGGTTCCCCCAATACCGAGAAGTTGGTTTTAATATTTATTTGGGCGATGTGAAACATGACTATAGTTTTAAGAGTCAGAACTATGTGAAAAGGGGCTGGGCACAGTGGCTCATGCCTGTAATCCCAGTACTTTGGGAGGCTGAGATGGTTGGATCACTTGAGCTCAGGAGCTTGAGACCAGCCTGGCTAACATGGTGAAAACTCTTCTCTACTAAAAGGACAAAAATTAGCTGGGTGTGGTGGCAGGTGCCAGTATTCCCAGCTACATGGGAGGCTGAAGCAGGAGAATCGCCTGAACACAGGAGGCGGAGGTTGCAAGGAGCCGAGATCGCACCACTACACTTAATGTGGGCGACAGATCTAGACTCTGCCTAAAAAAGAAATAGGAACTATGTGAAAAGGCATTTCAGAAAAGTGTCATTCCTCCACATCCTTCTGTCTCCCATTCATTTCAGTCTCCCATTCTTCCCACCCCGTTCCCACCCACCCTGTAAGCAACCAGTTCAATTAGTTTCTACTTTTTCTCCTATATTTCTTTTTGCCCAAATAAACAGACACGTATATGTTTTCTTATATGGAGATGATATTCAGTGTCTTGTTTTTGTGGTACTGGGCAATTTGAATGCTGTTCGGTAATTTTAACTCTTAAGGATACTGTTTATAATTGGTCTATCCTTACTGCCAGTGTATTAGAAAGCACACTAAATGATTGGGGTGTTGTTTTTTTTTTTATAAAATATTTGTGAAATTTTTTAAAAAATGAAGATGACGGGCCAGGTGCAGTGGTTCATGCCTGTAATCCCAGCACTTTGGGAGGCTGAGGGGGGTGGATCACGAGGTCAAGAGATCGAGACCATCCTGGCCAACATGGTGAAACCCTGTCTCTACTAAAAATACAAAAAATTAGCTGGGTGTGGTAGCGCATGCCTGTAATCTCAGCTACTCGGGAGGCTGAGGCAGGAGAATCACTTGAACCCAGTAGGCGGAGATTGCAGTGAGCTGAAATCACGCCATTGTTTAGGGAACCAGCCCTGCATCACCTGTGGGTACCCCAAGTTCAGTGGGACAAAGGAATGAGAAAAAGACATTAAGAGAGAAAGAAGGACTGGGGCCATCACTTTATTACTTTGGAGAAGACAGTGAAGGCCCTGAACTCTGACCATCAACACTATTTACTGGTTACATTGACTTTGATCTACAGGGTAGGGGTGGAGTGATGGTGGGGAGAGGGTGATGGTGGAGTGAATCAGTGAGCTGGAACTGGTGTGTCATTGTAAAGATTGATAACAGTGGAGGTTTGGGAGTTTCACAAAACAAGAACGTGGTTATCTTTAACTTATTATTTATGTGCAGCTGGTGGAACTCGGGCCTTACAAGGAGCCTACAGGTCTGGTGACGTCATAGTGCTACGAAGGGGTTTTACATCCTTGAGCACAATGATTATGGTAACAGAGCCCAGGTCACCCCACACCGGAACATGAGGCATGAAGAGGCCATCCTCCTCAGAGGCCTCCTGCAGCCCTCCGCAGTTTGTTGTTCCTTGTTTATGTGTTACTCATAACCAATTTATGTAGGCACTCTGTAAGTCCTTTCTCCTTTGCTGCTTTTCCCAACACATGCACTCCAGCCTGGCGACAGAGCGAGACTCCGTCTCAACTAACTAACTAACTAAATCAATAAAATGAAGATGACATGAATTTTGATGGGCTTATTAACACTGAACTATTTCTTGATAAGAGCTGTCTTAAAAAATGAGAATATAAAGCAAGCAGCAGTCTTTTCAAGTTTTCTTTAATGCATTACACTTTTTTTTTGCAAGATATTTTAAAGTTTTCTTTTTACTTATTAAGTGAACTGAATTATTTCAAGCTTCAATGAGACTTCTAGACTGTTATATTTTGGGGGTCTCGCAGAGTAGCTTTTCTTACACATATAAGCAGAAGTAAACATTTTCCCGAGTGTTTTAATAGGGCTTTGATGCATTTCATTGTGCACTCTTTCTTTCCACGTACTCTGCAGGCATTTGGGCAGTCCTTTTCCATCCACCGGAAGGTTGCTGAGGATGGAGAGACGCGGGAGGAAACGCTTCTGCAGGAGTCAGCATCGAAGGAGGCTTACTATCTGGGGAAAATCTTGGAGATGCAGAACGAGCTGAAACAGAGCCGGGCTGTGGTCACTAACGTACAGGCAGAAAATGAGAGGCTCACCGCGGTCGTGCAGGATCTGAAGGAGGTAAACAAACAAATTCCCTATGAGAGACTTGTGAGAAGGAGAAATAAGAGTGTTCTCTCCATAGCAGAGGAAATAACACTTTTGATTTAATCAGAGGAGCTGTGTTAAGCATGAAACACATAATACTGGGCTAGCAACTTTTCTGTCTTTTTTAGTGAAATGACAGCTAGCTTGTTCTGAGATGAGCTTTTCTCTCTTTTGCTGTTTCTTGAGAATTAAGTTTTGTATGTATTGCGGACTTGGGAATTGGCCTTACTATTTCTGCAAAGGTGTTTAAAAACCACGGTGACCTTAGCACTTCCTCCCTGCATTACCTGGTTGAATACAACGTGGAGAACGGTTGGCTGTAATGCTGCGCATCAGCACGAACTCCACCTGACAGTGGTGTTGGCTCAGGACGCTGCTCACTGGGAATGACAGCCCAGGCGCGTGTCCTGAGGAGCCTTCGAGTCTGGTGATGCAGATCCCCAGACTATTTTTCTGGAGAAGGCAGCAAATTATAGCTGGTATGAATTAGGTCAGGGAGTCTTTCTCGGTCTATGAGTGTCCACCGAACTCACTATTCCTTGTTAGCTTTTCCAAGGCAGCATTGCCTGCCAGTCATTTTCAGACGGCAGAGTCACTCTTTAGTGGAGGGGTGAGGTTGGAAACAGAGATAGCCAAAAGTGGCTTCATCCATCAAACTCCTGTAAGAGCATTTTTAGAAACTATATTCAATCATCCACTCCATATTTTGATATGAAAGTAGAAGAGATCCAGATGGCCTGTAACTCCTATACCAATGCAGTGGTGATTGACAGGTCCACAGCCAAATGGGCTCACTAGTTGAGCATTTTAGTAATAGAAATACGTAGGATGAAAATATTCTTCAATATTGTAAAATATAAGAGAAGCAATCCACATTTCAAATATGGGACATATGGCCGAGCGTGGTGGCTCACACCTGTAATCCCAGCACTTTGGGAGGCCGAGGCAGGTGGATCACAAGGTCAAGAGATCAAGACCATCCTGGCCAACATGGTGAAACCCTGTCTCTACTAAAAATACAAAATTTAGCTGAGCATGGTGGCACACGCCTGTAGTCCCAGCTACTTGGGAGGCTGAGGTGGAAGGATCACTTGAACCCGGGAGGCGGAGTTTGCAGTGAGCTGAGACGGTGCCACTGCATTCCAGCCTGGCAACAGAGCAAGACTCTGTCTCAAAAAAAAAAAAGGAAAAAAGAAATATGGGACATATTACAAATAGGGTTTCATTATTATAAGACATAAGTTGTCCAGAATTTATTGGAATCTTCTAGATAATTTACATTTACACATGTCCATATTACAATGAACTAAATGAATACTGACAGCAACGTTTTTTACTTATCTCGTTATCTTTGGATATGCCTAAATATAGCAATATGACTTGAGAAGACAGAAAGCATCCAATCAAGTGGAAGTTAGTATTAAGTGCTAAGAAAAACATGAGACAGTTTTCAGGATACCAGGGCCTCCCCATTTCCCTCTAGTGCGAACAACTGTTAAACACACAGCTGCTTGGCCATGCACAGTGGCTCACACCTGTAATCCCAGCACTTTGGGAGGCTGAGGTGGGTGGATCATGAGGTCAAGGGATTGAGACCATCTTGGCCAACATGCTGAAACCCTGTCTCTATTAAAATTACAAAAAAATTAGCCAGGCGTGGTGGTGTGGGCTTATAGTCCCAGCTACTCTGGAGGCTGAGGCACGAGAATTGATTGAACCCGGGAGGCGGGGGTTGCAGTGAGCCGAGATCACGCCACTGCACTCCAGCTTGGCAACAGAGTGAGACTGTCTCAAAACAAAAAGCACAGCTGCTGTTTAGTTCCTTCTTTCTTTTTGAGACAGGTTGTCACCCTGTTGCCCAAGCTGGAGTGCAGTGTCGCAATCCAGCATCCACTGCGGAAGTGGACAGAGGGTCATGTGGAGCCAAAGCCCACCATCCTGGATTAAACAAGGCACCGAACATTTGTAGGGAGCAACCTCAGCAGCCATGAGCAGCAGGGTCATGTGGAAGTTGGCAGAGAGGGCGTGGCATGGGCAACGTGAGGACCATGGGCACACACATGTAGGTGGTTTGTGGAGAAGAACGTGACCAATTATTCAATGAGTCGAACAGTCTTGATGGCCGGTTGAATGGTTCCTCTGAAAGCTGCAGTCACCATTGTGTGTAGCAGCTGCAGCTGAGCCAAGAACAGCCAAGCTTGAGGATGGGGCAGGGCATCCACAGATGCTTTTTTGTGTGAGTCAAGGCAGTGATGATTGATGGAGCATCCTCACTTACGCAGCCACGCTTGAGGGCTGTTCCAGTGAGTAGATTTATGATGAGTAGCAGAAGCTAATTAATTAAGCATGAAGTTACGAGGGAGGAATGAACTGAGGCAGCAAAAGAAAAAAAGTTTGAGGAGCCTTTCATTCAGTTCAGTTCTCCAACTTTAACGAGCATCTGAACCACCTGGAGAGCTCGTCAGACCACGAACACTGGGACCCCCTCCCAGAGATTCTGATTTAGTAGATGGACGTAGGACCCAGTAATTTGCATTTAAAACAAGTTCCCAGGTGATGTGGGGGCTGCTGCTCTGGAAACCACATTTTAAGAACCACTAATTTAGATTTTTTGGCCTGCCCAAAGCTGAGGAAGGCTTACAACTGGGGCATTGCTATAAACACCATGATCTCCTGCATAAAGCACTTGGTTGTGACCCTTCAATTTTTATGCATTTTCGATAGTTGATTTGAAGTAAGAAACTAACCTATTAATAGCCTATTAATGAGTTTATTCAGATTGGTCAGGTAACTAAAAGAAAAAAAGGTCATGTGTTTCCTTGTGTTCTATGTGTGCCAACGATGTATTTGTTAATGCTCTTTCTGATGAAGTGAAAGCTGGTGATATTACTATAATCCTGAGTTTTTTTGGTTTTAATCCAGTAGATACAGTTTATTTTGATGTACTTAAGAAAATTATTATTAATATTTAGAGCTAACATAAAAGGAGAATAGGAATAAATTCTGTTTTTTGGTGTATTGATACAGAGTTTTATTGGTTGGTATTAATTGAAATCTCAGATTTCCTTGCAGGCTCAATTTTATTTTTTGTATTGTCTTCATTAACTGATGCACAGTGATTGAAAGAGTGATCATGTAGCTAAGGAGAATTATGACATGATGGACCATGAGAAATATGCAAGGATAACCAACCCAAAATATAGTAAATGATCAGTTTGACAGAGGCTATGTGTTTAACAACTTAATGGGATCATTTTTCTTTGCTGAAAGGACTCATTTCCTGTTTCAGTAGGATTGTTGGTCCTAGCAAAGATGTGTGTTTGTGCATATATGATGGGTGCAGTGTGTAAATTTACCCGTATGTGTCGTGTGTGTGTGTGTGTGTGTGTGTGTGTGTGTGTGTGTACAATGTCAAATTCTCTTCCATAAATAGTAGTTATAGGATAGTATGGTAGAAAATGGAAAAATTGCTGAATTAGATATTAGAAAATCAATATTCTCCAGCTCTGCTGAAAGTTTTAGTATTAAATTCATAGTATTTGTAAAATTTATATTAAGATTATATTAATATATAGCAAATACATAATAAACATAGGTAATTATCATTAATAACATTCTGCATACTCCAAAAACACCACTGAAGATATAACTGTATTCTTAGGTTAAAGAAACATGAGATAAATATCTCTTTGGATCAGTTGAGGTCAGGTGTTTGAGACCAGTCTGGCCAACATGGTGAAACCCCATCTCTACTAAAAATACAAAAATTAGCTGGATGTGGTGATGTGTGCCTGCAATCCCAGCTACTCAGGAGGCTGAGGCAGGAGAATCTCTTGAACCTGGGAGGCGGAGGTTGCTGTGATCTGAGATCACTCGCTCCATTGCTCTTTACCTTGGGCAACAAGAGCGAAACTCCGTCTCAAAAAAAAGAAAAAAATCTGTTTTTTAGTTTAGTTGACCTTTATGATTGATCTTAGCTAGATCTACTGATCACTTGCTGCGTCAGTCAATGACATTAGCACTGCTGCTTCACCTTGCGCTTTATGTTACAGAGATGGCTTCTTTCCTTCAACCTCATGAACTAAGCTCTGCTAGTATCAAACTTTTTTGCAGCATTCTCACCTCTCTCAGCCTTCATAGAATTGAAAAGAGGTGGCCAGGCGAGGTGGCTCATACCTGTAATCGTGGCACTTTAGGAGGCTGAGGAGGGTGGATCATCTGAGGTCAAGAGTTTGAGGCCAAGCTGGCCAACATGGCAAAACCCTATCTCTACTAAAAATACAAAAATTAGCTGGGCGTGGTGGTGGGTGCTTGTAGTCCCAGATATCCGAGAGGCTGAGGCAGGAGAATCATTTGAACCCGAGAGGCAGAGGTTGCAGTCAGCTGAGATCACTCCACTGTACTCCAGCCTGAGTAACAGAAAGAGAGTCTGTCTTTAAAAAAAAAAAGAATTTAAGAGAGACCTTGCTTTCTTGATTAGGCCTTGGCTGGTTTGATCTTCTATCCAGAACTTTCTTCATGTCAGAAATGAGGCTGTTTGACTTTACTTATCATTCATGTGTCAATGGAATAGCGCTTTTAATTTTCTTCAAGAACTTTTTCTTTGCATTCATAATTTGACTAATTTAACTTGGCTAATTTGGCATATGCTTAATCATTTCTCCCTTTCCTTGAAAGTATGATTCTTTCACTTGGACACTTTGAGGCCATTGTAGTGTTATTAACTGGCCTGATTTCAGTATTGTTTTATGTCAAGGAATAGGAGGCCCAAGGGGAAAGAGACAGGGAATGGATGGTCAGTGGAGCAGTCAGAATGCAGATGTTTGTGGATTAAGTTTGCTGTCTTATATTGGTGTGGTTCATGTCAGTATAACAGATAAAACAGTAATGAAAAAGTTTGAAATATTGCAAGAATTACCAAAATGTGACACAGACACACAACGTGAGCACATGCTGTTGGAAAAATGGAGCCA